TGTTTCTAAGATTAAGTGAGATAATATATGCAAAGCCCCTGATACAGAGCCTAGCATACGTATAAATGCAACCAATATTATCATTAAGCCTATTTGAACTGCTATGACCAATGAGAGTTCCACATGAGAAACAGAAAATTATAACCCTATTTCTTTTCACACTAATTTGGTATTCAAAAAAATCCTTTATGGGGAGGAACACCCTGAACATAATCCTGTAAAAGAGAATTAAAATAATCCCCACTGACGGTGAAAAGGTTTTTAATGTTCAGGAAAGTGCTTTGAGCCAAATTTAAGGTGTTGCAAGAGAAGAGGTGCTTGCTACACACCCATAGTGTTCAGCAGTGTGGACTAACAGCCAAATTGATGCTGCAGTAAAGCTTAAGGCCCAGGAACTCTCCTTTTTGTCTTTTTTACTGACCGGTAACAGGATCGCAACCCTCAGTGTCGCGCCCGTACCAGGGACCGGCAACGGAATTGCAACCCTCGGTGTTGCACCCGCACCGCGCTCAGCCAGTGAGCGGGAACCGGTCTCCACATGGGATCCGAACCCTCAGCGGGAGCGCCGCCGCGCTCCCAAGCGGTGCACTCTCCAGTGCGCCACCGGGCCGGCCCGGCCCAGGAACTCTCACTTGTACGACTGCAATCAGTTTAGACTGCTGTCTCTTTCCACTTTCACTTCCCTGTGCCAGCTGTTTGGAGATCTAGACTATGGGGTAGCTGAGTGTTATGGGATATATTTACATGGTTTGTAGTCACTTTTGCATCAAGTTAAGTCACTGCGCACCATTTCAGTGTAGGAAGTTTCCAGATACACTCCTACTGTCCACCTGTCAGCTTGCCCAGTTTTAGACCAGAAGCTGAATCATGATATGAATATGTTAGATAGTCACCAGCCCCAGAAGTACATGTACAGCAATGAACAAACAAGATTTGTAATGTATAGATCCAGAATCTAGCCAGTGGAAACACTTCCCAGTCATCAGACATGTAATTATAACTCGACTGCTTCATGGATGCCTGGTCAAAATGGGAGTTCTGCCTTACCAGGAATGTATACTCAAATAATGCTCTGAGGTTTATATCTCAAATACAAAAGAAACATGGTAGAGAGTTTCCCACACTTGACCATTCTAAAAATTTACATGACAGAAGCAATAATGTTATGCAGATGAAACTCAAAAAACTTAATTCCACAGCATGCTTCTTACCAACATCTCCCTCTGTAGCCACCCTTCTCAGTCTGCTTTCTGTGCTCCTTTTCCAATCCCTCAAATGTGGATGTTACTCAGCCTTCTGTCCCAGTCACCCAGTCACCCTTCTCCTGATTCTACATTTCTCAAGTAATCTCATCCAATCCTGAGGCTTCACCTAAATGCTTTTTTCTCCCAAGCCCAAATCACCACCTGTAACCTATTTTGATGACCCAAACTGAAACTGAAAGGGGTCACAAATCCAACAGATACCAAATTGAACCTTTCCATTTCTCTCTCATCCCACCAAACATTCTACCTCCATTTATGGTGTCACCAACCGTGGTTTCTACTTCAGTGAATGCAACCACTGCCCTAGGAGAAAAAAATCTGTCCCTTAACACTTCCTTCTGCTTCTCACCTCCCACCCCCATGTCCAGTCCACACAGGATCACCAGGTTGTAGAAAGCAGGAAGCATCCACATTATGTTCCAGGGATGCCATTCACAGACTACAATGTGAACGGATGCTTCTTGGAGTTATGCCCTGAATCTTGTGGCCCTGAATCCATTGCCAAATTTTGCCCATTCTAGTACTTCCTAAATATTTCTCCATTCTGATCACTTCTTTCCATCCTCATGGTTAGCCCTCTAGTTCAGGAAACCATAATCTCAGAATTACCCAAAAAGTCTTCTAACAAGTTTCCCTGCCTCCAGTGTCCCTACACAACTGTTCTTACCATAGTAGCCAAAGTAAATTTTGTAAAATACAAATTTGAGGGTCACTCTCCTATATAAACCATCACTAGATCCCCAGTACCCTCAGGATAAAGTTCAAATGTCCTCTATGATCTCAACTCTGCTTTCTTCCCCAGCCTCATTTCTTACCACTACCTAGCACCCATTCTTTGCTCCAAATTAAACTTAAATTTTCCCAGACATGTACTTTGAATTGGCTATTGCTATTTCTTATGATCCCCTGGTATTACTTGTCATAGCATTTATTACACTACACAGCAAACCCTTGAACATGGGTTTAAACTGCATGGGTCCACTTATTCACAAATTTTTTTTCAATAAATATACTGGAAAATTTTTGGTTAGCTATGTAATGAATCCATGACACAAACTGTTAAGTAGCCTACTTAAGTACTGAACTACTACTTAAGTAACAACACGGCTCCCCACTCCACTGTCACAGCACTGTGGCAACAGTGGCAAGGCCATGATCGGGGGGATGGGGGGATGCACAAATGTACTTAAGTAGTAGTCAAGTAGTTAAGTTTTGGTGGAGTCGAAAGTTACACACAAATTTTTGGCTGCGCAGAGGGTAGGCGCCCCTAACTCCCACATTATTCAAGAACCAACTATAGCTATTTGTTTGTATTCCTCCACGTCACTTTAAGCCTTGTGAGGAAAGAATCCATGTTGACTTTGCTCATTTTTGCATTTCCAGCACCTAGCAGTGCCTGGCATTTGTGCACTCGACAAATATTTGTTAAGTTTATATATGAATTAACCAAACAGAAGTTTCATTAACATTAAATTTTTTAATGTTACTTTAAACAAAACTCTAATAAAATCAAACATTAAGAAGGAATTGTAAAAAGGTAAAATAAGCCTTGATATTGTGCTTAGAAATGCTCTCTGTCAATCCAGATAATGGATTTATAGGTTGGGAATAATATCTTTCTCAAATGCATTAGCATGAATTGTTGAAATGGTGAGAACTTACTGAACTTAGTGCAAATAAAACAAAAGATTGAAAGCCAATAATGATGGGCATGGTGTTCTGTCAACAATACAAAAATAACTAAGTCTTAAATGTTGCTATCAAATTAAAAGATACAATTAATAGTGAATAACTAGGGCCGGCCCGGTGGCGCACTGGAGAGTGTGCCGCTTGAGAGCGCGGTGGCGCTCCCGCTGAGGGTTCGGATCCCATGTGGAGACTGGTTCCCGCTCACTGGCTGAGCACGGTGCGGGCGCAACACCGAGGGTTGTGATCCCGTTGCCGGTCCCTGGTACGGGCGCGACACCGAGGGTTCCGATCCCATTACCGGTCAGTAAAAAAGACAAAAAGGGGAAAAAAAAAAATAGTGAATAACTAGATTTCTAGAAATAAATCACTTGGGACAGTACTGCTTTTGTGCCTTTATGACAATTAATAATATTACTATTACTAATAAAAATTACTGAGCACTAAGCACTGTATTAAACACTAGCAAGTATTAGCACATTTAATCTTTCTAAAAACCTTTAAGGTAGGCACTTATTAATAAATATTCTAATTTTATGTAAGAGGAAACTGAAGCTTAAAGAAGTTAAGCAATGTATCCAAATTCACAAGCTAGTCAAGTGCAACAGGTTGTATACTCAGGTCATTTGACCCCAAAACAACTCTATTAATCACTATGGTAAAGACTATACTTCACTCTACTCACTTCTAAGAAATGATAATTGTAATAACAACAACAACAATAACTTACTATACATCTGGCCCTGTTCCAAACGCAAAACGTGTAAATCTCTTTAACCCTCACAATCACCCAGTGAGGCAGAAAACTAGTAAACCCATTCTACAGATTAGGAAAGCAAAACATAGAAATGTAACTGGTCTAATGCCCTAAAGCCAAGTGGATCCAGAATTCAAATGCAAGAAGTCTGACTCCAGAGTCTTTGGTCTTAACCACTATATGAAACTAGTAGTTAAGAAAAACCATTAGGAAAAACAGGCTAACATTAGAAATATTTTTTAAATGCATATTCTAAAGTAAATTTTGGGATCTGTACTTATTCAGATTACAGTCTCTACACAGGTAATATGACAAAAATATTGCAGCTTGGAATAGTTCAAATAGTTCTAGATTAAAAGTTAGACGACTGCTTTGCCAGTTTTTAGTTCCATAATCATAGAATGAACATTTACTTTCTGAGCCTCCTTTTCTTATGTTAAAAATGACAATAGCACTACCTGCCCTGACTACCTTGTAAGTTTTTTCTAAGGATTATGTCTTCATCCATTTGGGCTGCTCTAACAAAATATCATAAATTAAGTACGTTATAAACAACAAAAACTTATTTATCACAGTTCTGGAGGCTAAGGAGTCCAAGATCAAGGCATTGGTAGATTAAGCTGGTGATGGCCCACTTTCTGGTTCAAAGATGGCTCACTTTCTGATTCACAGATGGAAGGGGTAAATGAGCTCTCCAGGGCCTCTCATACAAGGGCACTAATCCTATTCATGAGGATTTCCCAAAGGCCCATATACCATCACTCTGGGGGTTAAGACTTCAACATATGAATTTTGAGGAGACATAAACATTATTCATTCACACCATAGAAAAAACTTTTTGGCCTTTGTAATGCTTTCCACATACTTTTGTATCAACTTATTCATGACATATACCATCACTCTGGGGGTTAAGACTTCAACATATGAATTTTGAGGAGACATAAACATTATTCATTCACACCACAGAAAAAACTTTTTGGCCTTTGTAATGCTTTCCACATACTTTTGTATCAACTTATTCATGACTTGAGAAAAACTCAATCATAAGTTATACATAAAAGGCTAAATTTCATTGCCCGTTTGTAGATCACAATACATTTAGCAAGGAATAAAGTTAATAAACTCTATCCTAAGTGTATTGTAAAACATTCAGGCTATACAAATTATGATCATCTCAATAATTTTTCCCACAAACTGGGAATTATCTTGTAAACAGATTCTGGTTATTTCCCAAGCAATTCATAAGCACAATAATACATATGATGGCAATAAAAATTACCAACAGAATAAAATAAAGTTTAAAATTTACTGTCTTACTGATGTTGATAACTATAGGATGGTGACCTAATATTGTTTAACAATTTGATAGTCTCTAAAATCAAGTTGGCTTTGCCAACATTTATAGTATGCTCAAAATTTGCTAGGCTGCTACACTGAACATTTACTCAACATGATTCCTGGGTAAAATTCAGTTAGATTTTACAAATATCAATTGAACACCTGACTACATGCAAAGGAACGTGCTAGATACTACGAACAGTACAGGGATGGGTAGAATACTAGCCCTACTTTCAAAAGCTTACAAACATCACAAGCACAGGTAACACATATACACAAGCTACATATGCTATTTACTACTTCAAACATTCCTAGATTAAACATTTTTAAATTCCTGTTTTAAGATTTTTTACACCTTGCTTTAGGTTATCTGCCTTTAGTTGGCTTATAACATGGATATCATGACGGAAAAAACCTAACTTTAAAACTTAAGGATACTGTGACTCTTCAATTAACCTATTTTAAAAAGTCTAGTTAAAAGTCTCCTTTCGACACAAATATTTAAAACACATATCTTGCAACTAAATAATTTTATGTTAGTGAATTGGCACAATGATATTAAAAAGTTTTATAAGGAGACAATTTCATTATCTATTTAACTCCCCCTAGACAGATAAATTCATTCATATGCTAATGAAAGAGCATTGTCAGGCAATTACAAAAACTCATGAAAATAATGTTAAATTTACAGAGCACTGAAGGATATATCTAAATTTAACATTTAAAATGACAAAATAAAATATTGGTCCTTACGAATGTATCTCATTGTTTATATTTTTATTTTCAGGAAAAGACTTATAGTCTACTTGAGTATATTTCTCACTAGTTAAATCATAATTCACTTTACAGTTAATTACTTTCCTGTATGATTTCACTTTAAAATACGAAACAAAACACTTTATTTTCAGTAGGAAAAAAATTTACATATGAAAGTCAAAAACAATTATTTCAGTAAAAATGGAAATCAACCACCATATCTTTTCTTGAGTTCTTCAACAGAATTATCCTTCAATCCTGATTTGTCTATGTGATTGAATAACATATGGACAACTGAAAAAGAAAAAAAAATTCTCCATTTTAATGTCATTTTTTAAAAAGTAAGGGAAATGTAAATTAAAGAGAGTAACTGATCTGTCAACTAAAAACTTTTTACTTTTTAAAGCAGAAATCAGGATTATTTATAAATTCTAATTCAGATATTTAAAAAGCCAAACTGAGAATAGAAAAATATACAGCAATCCAATGATGTTTCTTACCAGAATATTTTGCTTTAGCAGTACAAAATTTCCCCTACATCCTCAATGACATTAATCTTGCATATTAAACTTAACTCATTCTGTACCACCATAAAAATTTTTGCCCCATCTGTGTATCTTTTATTCACTTAATATTTTTATTTCAATTAACTGTTTTTTGAACTTATCATTTTATTTTAAAATAAAACTTTATATCACTACTATAAATTGAAAATTAACAAGATTAACATCTACAAAATCACAGCCAATAAACTAGTTATATATTTTTATATTACATAAGAAAATAAAACAGATAACTACTAAAGATTTAAAAAAGATTTGCCCATGACTCATGCAAAATCATCTTTCTTACCACTGAGTGGTCCACCACACTCAATTCTTTGGAAAACATTGTTATAGTTCGTGTTTCTCAATATTAAAATTAGAGGACATTCTGACAGTTACTAACAATAATGGCAACAATAAAAGATAACAGCTAATATTTACCGAATGCTTAGTTACGTGCCAGAATCATTGTAAGTGCTTCCGTGTTTAACTCACAGTAGTGACCCAACCAAGACAGTACTGTTGGTAGGCAGTGTTAAAAGACAACTCATAATCTCTGAGTATACCTTGAACTTATCACATTAGACAAGAAATTCATTCAAAACATTTATTCTGAGAGGTTATTATGTACTAGCACCGAGGCCTAGTAAACAAGGTGAGCAAAATTTGTGCTCTCATGGCACTTTCATCCTATTAGGGAGAAAGAAATGCATATAGGAAACATTGTCAGCTAGTACATCTTATGAAGAAAAATAAAGCAGGGTAAGAAGATAGAGGGTGGTGGGGGTGGGAGGAAGGTGGGCAGTTCTTTCAACTAGGGCTGGTTAGTAGAGATATCTCTGAGGTGACAGGAGGTGACAACTGAAGCAAGGTGAAGATATGTGGGAAGATATTCCAGGCTGAGGAAGCAGCCAGATACAGTTTCCGAACCAAAACTAGTTTGGCAGTTTGATATATTAAAAAAATACAAGTATAAAGCCAGTGTGGTGGGGCGGAATGACTGAAAAAAGGTGGTAGAATATGAGGTCAGAAAAGTAATAAGAAATAGTAGTACTTTTCAGAGATTTCAATAGATGTTTTTTGTTAAAGCAGAAACTTTTGGTTTAAACCCTCACCATTAAAAAAAAAAATCTCTAACTTGCATGTCCACTTCCCTAAGTACTATTTAAGACTATCTTTCTTAGTGATTCAGAATTACTCAGGGTCACTGCTAGAAACATTAAAAAAAGTAAGATCAGGGGCCCAAAGTATGTTTAGTATAGGAGATATGTAAAAATGGTACGTTGAGTTTTTGCTAATTTTTAAAACTAAAAAACTGGCACTCTTGTATTTAAATGATTTTTCTCTTTTTCTTGAAATTGGAGTATAGCCCAAAACTCTGAGCAACTGAGATTTCTCCAGTTTGATTTTACTTCAATTAGGGTTTCCCAAAACTCACTCTTTATGACAAAGACTGAGATATGGGAATCAATACAGAATACAATTCTTCAGGCTCATCACCTGCCACTGTTTACCTCTTCACTCTACAATCCAGCCGCACCGCAGCTTTCATTCTCTGAACTCAACTTGTTCTTTCCTGTTTCAGAACCTTTGCACACATCACTCCTTCAGTCTAAAACTCTCTTCCCCACCCATTCACCTAAGTGACTTCTTTGAGAATTCGTCTGAAAGCAAATAAACTCAAGGAAATTACCTCTCTCAGAACAAATTAGACTTCCCCTGTACCCCACGCCCAGTTACATGCTCCTGTGGCAGGGACCCTCTACATACTTTAGGACAGTAAGAACTCATTGTGCCATTTACTGCATTTTCAAGCAGAAGAGCTAAGACTATGGAACTGGACTCAGCTGGGTTCAAATCTTGGGTCTGGCTTCCTAGCTATGTGACCTTGGTCAAGTTCCTTCACCTCTCTATGCCTTAGTTTCCTCCTTTGTAAAAGAAGAAAGATAATAGTACCAACATCTCATAGTACTGTCAAAATTAACATGTATAATTTCAATTTCACTTTAATTGTAATTCAATTAATTGAATTATAATTAATTTATATTTAATTGTATATACCTTGTACACAGTAAATAGTCAATAAATGTTTGCTATCATTTGTTGAATGATGAAAGGAACATACAAGAATAGACAGGGAAAAGCTCTCTTTCTTAGAACTTACTCTTTTTCTCAGATTCTGACATAAACATCACTGCCATATCAAACCTTTTTAGTTCAGAAAGTCTTTGTAAGATTTCAAACATGAGTGATGGCTTTTCTTTCCTGAAATAATCCAAATATAAAAACAAATGATTGGTTAAAAGTAGCTCATTTAATTCTGTTTACTAACACAATATTTTTAATCATACATACATAAGGTCATTTTTCTTTTTTCTCTAGATAGTCTATATTTTAAGCGCCCAAATGAAGAGATTTATCAAGTCACCTGAAGAAATTATAATATTCTTAAATGAGAGCTCAGCACAGAAACTATTACTCTATTATAATACCCATCACTTCCACATCCTACTTTTCTCCACAAAAAAATTAAATCCTTTTTCCTTCCATTTAAACTTTTCCCTTTTTTATTATTGTACTTTTCATCTCTTAACAGCTTCCGTAACAGTAAAATTTACCAGAAAGCTAATTTTTCTATTTACAAAGTATTAATATATCAAAGAGAATGAATTTCCCAAATCATTGAAAATAGCATAGCATTACAATATGAGAGTATAACTAAAAAAGTTCAACTTACTCAATGTAAAAGTCATGCAGAACTTTAATGATTTGGTTGAATACATCCGGATCTAGATTTTTCTGAAATAACTTCGGATACAAGGATGGTTCAATTTGCTTGGGAAAAATATAAATAGAAATTTAAATTATGGCAACATCCACATTTCACAAATGATTTATATAATAATTGCTTAGGCAAAAATAGTACAGAACTACTACTATGCATTAGTACTTAATAAATAATAATGAGGTCACATTCAAATGCAATTTTATAGAAGAATGAAAGTTAGAAGAACTGTGAGATAATCACTCTGTTCTAGTCAAAGAAAAAAATCTCATGAACAGATGAAATATACCACCCTAAGAGAGACAGGAAACGTGAGAGAGCTTTCAAAGAGCAATAAATATAACCAGAGATTTTAAAAAGCAGAATTACATGAGATAATATATTTAGAAGTTACTGCATACTGCATAATTATAGAGGAGTGTTACTATCATTACACTGGAAAAAGATTAAGCTAATCAATTATTTCCTAAAATTTGATTCTTTTTCTTGGAGCAAACAAAAGCTCATTTTCAGGAGAATGCCTGCCTATACATTACAAGTATTGCTCGGCACATAGAAGGCACTCATATTTTAGCTTCCTTTCCCCATCTTGAAGGATGAAGGATTAACCTTAAGCTGTGGTATATGAAATTAGATTGTTATATTAGGCATCAGAATTTAACACAGATCCTATTTCCAAAGGAGAACATCAAAGTTCCCTGGTTGCAAATATTTTAAAATGGTCTGGCTAGAGTGATGTACATATAAGGCAAGGGATAAAAGCATTTTCTACAATCATATTATACAAAAAGCAAATATAGCACTATTATTATACAGTGACAAAAGAAGTTCTTTGACCTTTTAGTTACAACAGAAGCACTAGCTTCCTCTCCTTACCTTTAAATATTGATACATCATATCTGGAGAACTTTTCAGTTGTCTGAAATCAGATTCAAGCTGGAATGAGTTTGCAGGAACTGGAGGAAGAACAGTTGAGACAAACTGAGCAGATATTTGTTCCACCTCTGTAGCAATCTTCTCACTGAATGACTGACATACACCCTGCTTTAAATTGGCTTGAGGTCTGAAATATTTCAGAGGCATCAAACCAGTTAGAAAGAACTACAAATAGTCAAAGCTCAATAAAGAAAACATCAATAGAGATTTTTAAATTTCTCATTCTATTAATATTGCATTATTTGTATTCTACAAGTATTAAATTCTTTTGGCTAATAATATATGTACATCTTTGGAAAAATAAATTACACCCTTTGAAATTTCCATGTGCTAGCTATGTAATGACTATTCTCATCTGTTGGGCAACTAGCTCAGCCACAATTTGAGTGCAACATTTCTATATTCCATTACTGTGTCACATACACTCACAACTCAGCCTTTCAGAAATCTGAATTATCACTTTCAAGATATTCCAAGAAAGAAGAAATGCCTGGCTTTGTTTTAAAGAAAAAAGCTACCTATTAAAGAAAAAAGCTCCCACAATTCATGCTATTACTTTAAATAAAACTACTACTAAAGTTCAAAGTTTAAAAAAAAAAAATCTTTTAAAAGGTTTGTTAAGTGGCAATGTAAGAACATATAAAGTTTTGATAACCCAAAATAAACCTAATTAGTCTATATTTTCTATATTCGTATCATTAAGAAAACACATGTGAACTGTTTTTGTAAATTCTAAACAAAATTTAACGAGCCCACAATAGTCTTAAATATTGAGTGGAATAATGGTAATGTCTAAATTCTACATTTTTATAAAGCTTTCTTTTAAAAATTAAAATTTTTGCTGAATTAAATAGTGAAACATATATACTGAAGTTCTAGAAAAGAAAATGAGCAAAATCAATTTGTTCAAGACACTTTCTTATCATCACTAAACCATCTTAAATTCCCTACTATGGTAAAGGAATAGTGATCATTCCTTAAGCAAAATATTTCTCACACTAAGTACAAATTAAAAAATAAAATAAAATAAAAAAACTAGAACCTAAAGTTACACATTTAAAAAAATTACGTTGATGAATAACAAATCAGAAGTCTTCTCAGTAATACCAGTTTTCTAGTAGAATTACCACCATTGTAAATGATTATCAAATAACAGTATTTCCACTCACTGCAGGGCTGTAGTATCACTTGTTTCTTCTATTTTCAATATTTTTGCTCTTGGAGTATCACTTGTGGGCAAAAGGTCACCTTGGCTTGAATTCTTCTTACTTGTAGTGCCTGTGGCTCCTATCACATTTGCTAGATTAATAGAATTACTCTCTGGAGCAGCAGCAATAGTGCTATGTGGCACATCCATAGTTTGTATCAAGTTACCAATTTCTTCAATAATAACCTTCTTGAGTGGTTTCTAAAACAATTAAAATCAATTCTTTAAATAAACATATTAAAGGTTTCCTATTTTAGGGTTGCAAGTTAAAAGGCTGCAGTGTTCTTACAGCTAATAACCCAGTTAAAAGTAAATTCAATGTCTAGGCAGGAATCATATCCTGTCTGAGACTACAAAGTACAAAATGCTGTGCATAGCACCTAGGTCTAAATGGGGGAGAGAGACATGTAAATATAAATAATTACAAGGCAATGGGTATGTATAAAAGGCAAAAGCACAAAATGCTAAGAGAACACAGAAAAGAAGATAAACACTGGCATGAGGGACACCTTCACAGGAAAAGGCACAAGAATGGCAAAGTGGACGGGTGTGGCACGGTCAGTGGAAGATGAGGAGCCCTGTGGGGCTGGTGCAAGGGAAGGAATGCTGGAGACAAAGCCTGAGAGGCTGTTTGAAGACAGCCTAAAAAGAGACTGTGTGCCATGTCAAGGAGTTTGGACTTTATTCTAGAGGCAAAAAAGCAAAGAAAACATAAGACCAAACCAACAGCAGTACTGTGGGCTCACTGAAGGCCAATAGAACAAGCAGACAATAACCAGCATTATATATGAAACAGACTAACAATAAAACCTAAGTACATCCTCTAAATATGTAGCAGTTGGATAAAACCAGCCCAGGATTAAATAATATTCACAAACTTGGTAAGAGTTAACCACAACGGTTTTTCAATTTAATAAAATAAATGGCATTCACTGCTTATTTTGATCATTACATGTGTCAAATATCTTCAATTTCTTAAGTTTATATGCAGTATTATATTTAATAAAATATAACAATATTCTTCACTATATTGTCGTACCAAACACACAGAAATACACTGAGGAGCCATTGTTCCACCAGGAATATTGAAAATGAAACAGGTAAGAAGAGCTCCTTTTTTAAAATTTGCACATACTGATAACAGTTGCAGCTATGTAACAGAAAACGGGAGTTCACTTTCTCTTTTTTTATATATGTTTAAAATTTAATTTTAAAAAGAGAAAATACTTTCCTCAATGTACTCCAAGTGTGCATTCCAACTGTATAGTTGAATTATAAATCAAAAAGTTGTACATATAAAAACTTTTGACACACATGTTAAACTCAATGTTAAAACCAGATATTCTATTAACACACCTAAGATAGACCCAATGATAACAACTGGGTGTTACTGGATGAATGTATATAAATGAAAAGCTATAAGCAAATTTGTAACAGAATCCTGTCAGCAGTTCTATTTTAAAGAATAATCATGTTAAGACCTTTGCTTTTTGCTAAGAACTGTATCAGCAACAGTTTTCTATGAAGATATTGGCTAAGAATGGACAGGTAGTTAGTGTTAAGAAATAGTATTTGACAAGCAATAATATGAATTAAATCAGTATGGTCCCACTGAAAACCAAACACTTTCATTGACAACAGATGTGTAAAAATGATCTTAATTAATAAATTCCCTAACAGACGATCTGTTAAGTGAAGACCAGTGGGTCCTGAGAGCTGCCGACGACTACTGATGATAATCAGGAGGAACTGAGGGAGACAGGGGACTGCTGGTAACAAGAGTAACTACAAAGGATACCACTATAGAAAGGATTTAAGAAAATATGAAAAGTTCAATTCATTCCTTTTTTAAAATTAAGACTCAGAAGCATAACATTTTATTTAGCTCTATATTACGGCCATTTCAAGAAAAAGAAGAGAAAATAAGAACAAAGAGAAAGAAAGAAAGAGAAAGAGGGACCAAGGAGAAAGGTGAAGTTTTGACATGGGAAACAAAAAACGAAAAAAAGTAAATAAAATAAAATATTTTAGTAGAGACTAAAGGATCAGGAAAAACTATCTTTTACCACCACCCTATCAGGGAATGAACTCCAGGCCCCAGCTGACCTACATCTATCTCTGCTCTCCTATACTCTCTCTACAGAAGGTTTGCTAAAAGTACTCCCGGGCTGCCAGTCCTTGAAGCAGATTACCCTAGCCTACCCTCTCACTTTAACCATAGGACTCTCCTTCCACTTTCTGTGGCCTTCCTTTCTTTCCTGACCACTTTTTCCAGTGACCAGTGGTCTCTCAAATGTGATTAAAAAGGAAATTTACATTTGCTTCACCTGAAATCACCTTAGCATTTATGCACAGTATTTTCTTTGATTTAAACTAATCTGTGAGTCATTCTCAATTTAAGGAAAAAGGGTAAGGATAACAAAGGGATTAGGTAACTTGCTGGAGACTGAAAAGTTTATAAAGTGGGGCTCAAATCAAGTCTTAAAGGCATTATACCAAATTGCTACCTTCTACTTTTTTAAAATGATGCCCACATTTTTATCTTAGAGAACTATTACAAAAATAAAAAGCAATTTTTTTCCCTTCCCACTAGGATAGTAATTTTGTTTGTGTTGGAACATTTACAGAATGGTTTACCCCTGATCTCTCACTTTATAGAGGTGTTTTGTTTTGAGATACAGCCATAAAAGATCTAAATTTATGCTGCATTTTCACAATTATTAACATAAATTGATTTATAAAGTGAAGGAGAAAAGAACCCAACAAATTTGTAAAAGCTGCTTAGGGTATATTGGTCACAGGACATTACATATACAAATATTTGTCTTAGCACATGACAATGCCTTTATAATCACGAACAGCAACATTTAACAATGGCTTTTTTTAAACCTGTGAATTAATTTTTGTGTAGAAGTCTTATAAGGATGTAAAGTTTAAATCACACTTAAACATTTAATTACCTTTACTGCAAAAATACAGCAAATGAATGTAATACATGAAAATATAATGTATGAAAGCAACTAGATTTATGCCTGGCACACAAAATACATGAAAGCAGTATTATCCCAGAAAATCCAAGAATACAGTCTCAATAAGAACACTGGAGGGCCGGCCCGGTGGCGCACTGGAGAGTGCGCCGCTTGAGAGCGCGACGGCGCTCCTGCGGAGGGTTCGGATCCCATGTGGTGACCGGTTCCCGCTCACTGGCTGAATGTGGCGCGGGCGCAACACCGAGGGTTATGATCCCGTTGCCAGTCCCCGGTACGGGCGCGACACCGAGGGTTGCGATCCCATACCGCTCAGTAAAAAAGACAAAAAGGAAATAAAAAAAAAAAAAAAGAACACTGGAAAATTATTAAACTAAGGAATCTTCTACCTGCTATTAACCTGAAATATAAACGTAGCAAAACAAACTTTCTTTGTCTTGCTTTGTTCCTTTATAAAAGGAGGATAAAATACCTGCTCCTACTGCCTTTTAAAATTATTTATATCAAAGGATCATCCATGCATGACAGTTACTTCTAGGGGGCAGAAGGAAGATCTTGATCAGTAAGGAGCACATAGGGAAGTTTCTGAGGACTCATATCTTTCAATCTTCTGACCTGGTTGGTGTTTTCATGGGTGTTCACTTTATAATTATTCTTTAAATCTTAATTTGTTTTGTGTACTTTTCTGCATGTACTTTATATTTTATAATTTATATTCATGTACATTAAAAGTACCATGTAAGGGCCGAGCCCGTGGCGCACTTGGGAGAGTACAGCACTGGGAGCGCAGCAGCGCTCCTGCCGCGGGTTCGGATCCTATATAGGGATGGCCGGTGCGCTCACTGGCTGAGCGCGGTGCGGCCAGTCACAAAAAGGACAAAAAAAAAAAGTACCATGTAAATGTCAGAAATTACCATAGAGTCACATCATATATATACTTGCCTTTTGAATTCAACCTTAGAGGTTCAACACAGAACAAACTGCTAAAATTCACGCCAGCTACTCTTTGTTCCAATATTGCAGGAAAAAAACTGGCCTTGTTAGACTTAATGAGAAGCAGTACACTATAACCAAAATAATGTGCATGTATATTTTTAAGGATAATTTTGCCTATACTAGATTTCTGCTTTAAGTGCTGATTTTAGAGCTAATCCCTCACAAGATGCAAGGCTACTGTAATAAAAACTCAACCTCACAAAAAAATAGTAATTACAATTAAACAAAAACACTTAATTACTACAAAATGTAAAGTTGCTTCAAATTGTTTTAATATATGTAGAAATATCTAAACTTACAGTGTTAAATTAAAAGTCACTTAAAAGTTACCCCAGAATTCTAAACATCTGAATTTTGCCCAATTTTATTATGTCAATGATCCTAAGAATTATTTTGTAAAATTTTTAAAATGGCCCTAAAAAGAGCTTTCCACATTTCTCTTAACAGTTTATTAATTCAACAGTTTGTGTCCAATTCTATTTATATAAAACTGATATTTAAATGGCAAGGAAAAAATAAAAGTCCTTTACTTACAGTTGATCCAAGATGAGGTGGATTATCAATGGGTTTTATTACATTTTGTCTTTGTGTGGAATCGAGAAAGACATCATCCCAGTGTCCTTTCTCAATTAGTTCCTTTAAAATAAATTAGTGATCATAACTATAAAAATATTCTCAAGCTGATTCTGTAACATATAAATGTGTTTAAGTTTCAGAAAATATGATCATAGTTTAGTGAAAAGAATACACTACCTTTTTAATTTTGGAAAGTTCAGTTACTGCTTGTTTATTTCCAGGTTCCAGAAGTAAAACAGTTTCAAAATCTAAAGAGAATTTTTAAAAAATATAAAAAAGGAGTCAAAATACTTTATGGAGTTCAAGGCATGATACATCTCATTTTTATCTCAGTTTTACATAGAATAGCAGAAAACAGGTGAACAATAATAACACTGAGTTTTATTCCAGTTGTTTTATATGAATTTTCATGTAATCCTCACAACTATCCCACTTTACAGATGATACAACTAAGGCCTACAGGTCATCTCACACTGTTAACAAATGACAGAGTAACTCACCAAACGTGAGATAGAAGAACTAAGAGCATCTCAGAGAATTCCATACAATGTAATATTATTCAGCCTTAAAAAGGAATGAAATTTTGATACATGCTACAACATGGATGCACCTTGAAGACATTATGCTAAGTTAAATAAGCCAGTCACAAAAGGACAAATAGTGTATGATTCCACTTACTGGTGGTATCTAGAATAGTCAAATTCATAGACAAAGTAGAATGGTCATTACAGGGACTTGGGAGAGGAGAATGAAGAGTTATTGTTTAACAGGTACATAGTTCTAAAACGGGATGATGACAAACTTCTGGAGATGGACAGTGGGGATGGTTGCACAACTGTATAAATGTACTTAATACCACTGAACTATATGCTATCAAATGGCTAGAATAGTAAATTTAATGTTATGTATTTTTTACCATAGTTAAGAAAAACACTCATGGGCTGCAGCTAAAGCCAGGCTTAGGGAGAAAATGCCAGATTTAAATGCACATATCAGAAAAGAATAAAGACTGAAAATCAATTATCTAAGTACTGATCTCAAAAAGTTAGAAAAATAGCAAATTAAACCCAAAGAAAGTTGAAGAAATAAAATAAAGAGCAGAAATAAGCAAAAGAGAAAACATGCAAGGAACCAAATTGCTTCTTTGAAAGACTAATAAAACAAATACTTAAAGGACAAGATCATGGAAAAATAAGGGGGGAAAAAAGGAATAAAAAGGAGCATCACTACAGATCTCACATTATCCTCTATCCCCTAACCTGCTGATTCCCTTCCTTTTCTTCTCATTCTTGCCTTTTCCTTCCTTTTTTTAATTCTCATCTATAATTCAAATTTTTCATTAGTTTTGATCAGCAATTAGCCAGAGTGCATTGTATGTTATTAAAGTAAAAGATATTCACGTGCACTATGGAAGCTGCATTCCTTCAAACCTATTCACAATCCAAACTATAGAAAGAAAATGCACTTCTCTTAGTTCAGTGTCCTTGAACCACAGGAAAGCTACAAAAATCTCTGCTTCTATAACTTGGGAGTCTCATCAGACTGAGTGCCAGTTGTTATAAAGTCTTACCTTGTTTGGCCTCATTTAGCTTTCCCAAAAATGTTCTCGCAGTTCCTCTTCTGGCAAAAGCTTTAGAATATGAGCCATCTAATAAAATAGCTTGTGTACAGTCTTTTTCAGCTTCTTCATATCTATTAACA